TTGAAATGGATGAAGATGAAATGACCAGAGCAATATGGCCCCTCATCAATGAAAAGGAACAATTGTCACATGCTGAACTCAAATGCACAGAAATATTCTGTGTTTTGTTACATTCATAGTGGAGATTCATCTTGAGAGCAGAAATGAAAGGACATAGGTACGAGGAGAGGCGAGAGAGGTTGGGACATTTCCAATTGGAGTATTGCATGAGTGCGTCAGCCTGGCTGAGTTGATAGCACTCTTGCTTCTGAGTCAGAAGGTTGTAGGTTTACATTGGGACTTCGAATCATGTAGTCTAGGCTGACACTTCAGTGCTGTGCTGTTAGAGGTGCCTTCCTTCTGTTGAGATATTAAACAGAGTCCCTTATGTATGTTCAGGTGAATGTTAAGGATCCCATGGCTGTTTGTGGGACACTGCTGAGTGCAAATTGGCTGCCATGTTCGCCTGCAAAATACATAGTACTACATATAGAGTATATCCCATATGCGCTTAAGCATAGTGATGGGTTTCCACATCAGACATCCGGCTGACCAAAAAAAACCCACCTCAGATCCAAATCCTTGACCATGCTCCTGACATGTAGGTGCTATATCAAAAGCAAGGATTATTACTTATTGTGGTGTTTATGCTTTACTGAAATGCAGGCATTTACTCTCTAACAATCTCCTCATGATTAAAATTCCTAAAGATGCTGATTGCAGTTTTCCAGCTGAATTAATTTTTAAATGGAAAATCACACAGAAAGTAAACCTATACCTAAAAAAAAATTAAAAATGAGAAGAGCAGAATTCAGTATTTCTCTTTCTCCTTCGACGACAATTTAATTTACCCAGAGTTATTTCAGTTTGGAATGCACTGCCTGAAAGGGTGGTGGAAACAGATTTGATAATAGCTTTCAAAAGGGAATTAGACAGATACTTAAACAGGAAGAATTTGCAGGGTTTTGGGGTAAGAGCAGGGGCGTGGGACTAGTTGGTAGCTCTTTCAAAGACCTGGCACAGGAACGATGGGCCAAATAGCCTCCTTCTGTGCTGTAAAATTCTATGATTTCAATCTACCATTATCAAGCAAATGAATAAAACCTGATCTGAAGATGTATCCTCCACTTATTTGTCAGTATCTTTAGGAATTTTAATTGTGAGGAGATTCTTAGAGTAAATGCCTGCATTTCATTGAAGCTTAAACACAACAATAAATAATAATCCTTGCTTTTGATATAGCACTTACAAGATTAATGTCTCAAAATGCTTCTCAACTACAACAGCATATTAAATTTGGATAGTGCCTTTCATGTCGGGAGCATGGTCAAGGATTTGAATCCAAGCTGGGGTTTTTTGGTCAGCCGGATGTCTGGCAATAGCGGAAAGATGCTACCCTGTGTGGAGGGTGCAATATAAGTGCAAGTTGCTGCTGCTGTTGTATCCCTGTATGAGAAGCAGTCAAATTACAAGAGCAGTATTTTTCCGAAAACCGATTTACATTGCCTGTTCAGTGAATAATCAATGCACTGAGACAAGACCCCTCTAAAATTATATACATTATACATAACTTACCGAAATACAAACAAAAATAAGATCTCCACTGGTTTCATTGGTTTGTGCTACGTTGGCTGATGTCCATCACAGCAGCAGTTGGACATTAAATTAGCAAACAATTCAAATTCTCTTAAAATATGTTTTGGTCACAGGAAATCAGGAAAACAATGAGGATTTTAAATGTTGCGTTTGACTATGTATAATTTAATTTTTTTAATAAAGATTAGGTTTAAATGACATATAAACTAAGGTCCCAACTATTCTAATGGCAATTAAAGATCACAATACAAAATTACATTTGTATAGCTCCTTTCACGTCAGGGGGACAATGCACTAATTTCGAACAATCCCTTTCAGTGCTCCTTTCCTTAAGTTTACAACGTACAATCGCATTGGACTATCCCAAATACAGGTCTTGAAATTCATACAAATGCTGCATTCCAAACAAAAGCTTTGTTTTGCTTTTGGAGTGAAGAAGTTCTCTTTGCCACTTCCATCATCTTTAACTTTTGCTGAGGTAAAAAAACATCACCAGCACAACTTCACTGATAGCCCTCGGATACCTTGCCAAATAGTGATTTATGTGTTCCCCTAAACTTCCGAGTGTCAGCAGAATCTTCAACTATGCAAGGATTCACAGATATATTATCCTGCTCTCATCCAAAGAACACAACTAGCTTGGTGGTGGGGTGGGGGGGAGAGAAAGCAAGAATCCTACTTGATTTTACATTTCTCTAACCTCATGTGATGAGACCATTTGTGCCCCACAGGCTAACCTGGGATAGGATTAATTAACTTAGCACAGCCAAGGAATTAAACATGCATCCCGCTGGTGTGCATGCCTGGGTAGTGCCTTTACACATCAGAAGAGCTCAATTAGAGTCAAAGAAACTTCAGTACAGAAGAGAGATTCAGCCCATTGTGCATGTGCTGGCTCTCAGCTACATATTTCAATTTTTTCATTTTTTTCTCCATACATTTTCGTATCATGAACCTTCATCCATTTATCCTATTGCTTTTCAATATTGTAATTGTCAACTTGAAAAGCCACATGCGATATAGTATTCCAAATTCCTAATAAGCATTGTGTGAAAAAGTTGCTTCTATCCTACCCACTAAAATTCTCGTAATAACCTTAACAATCTGTCACTATTTACCCTCTCACTTTTATAATTTAGATGCATCTTTTAGATCCCTTAACTTTCTCTGCTTCAGATTTGTAAACTTTTTATCATAACTTGTATCATTGCCTTCCTCATGGTGAATCTAAACTGTACTCTCCCAATGCCTCTGATATTTATTTTATAATGGGGGAGGAAAAGGAGGTCCAAAACTGGACTCCATAATCCAGTTGTGGATTTTCTGTAGATTCATCGGTTCTTTACTTTTACATTCAATGCTCTATATATGTCTTATGCAACACGATGGCCTGACAAGCTCTAAAGGCAGTGTAGAGGAGAACAATGCAGATGATCCAGTGTTACAGGAATGAGCTAAGATTATACAAACTAAGGCTCTGCAGACTTGACATATCTCAGAGGGGACCTGATGGAATTACAATATAAGATTTTAAATGGGATTGAGAAGGCAAACTCAAAACAATACTTTTGGATGCACTGAGACAGAACCAATGGATAAAGTTTTAGGCTCGCAAAGGGTATCAGACTCTACCACTGACAAGTTCTCTGGGACACTATCCGTATGAAGGGCACTATATAAACCTAAGTTGTTGCTGTTAGAACAGGTTAACAAGCAGGGTTAACAGCTCAGTGCTGAAATGGTAGGATGGTAGTGTGGCTATTCTGGAAGCATAAGATCAAATGGGTTAAAGGACCTTCTTCATCTGAAATTCTCTTGTGATTTTCTCATTTTATGTTTTTTTTGCACTTACAATCACACTTCCAAAGTTCTATGTGCAACTAAAGATTTCTCTGTTCCTCCACAGATTGGGGGATTTTAACATTAGTTTCTGGCCTGCGAGCCCCCCGGCTGTTTACCTGATATCATTGTGAGAGGGACGGCTCCCGAATCCCATGTGTGGTGTGGCACGAGAGACAAATCGGCTTCACTCGGAGGCCCCGCTGTTGTGATTGTCTGTTTGTGTGTGTGTGTGTGTGTGTGTGTGTGTGAGAGAATGTTTATGATTGTCTTTGTGTATGTTTCTCTACACCAACAAAATTACATTTGTATAGCGCTTAACATGTCGGGAGGATGTCTATATGCATTTGTGTGTGTGTGTGTTTCTCTCTCTCTCTGTTTGTGAGTATGTCTGTGTCTCCCTCTCCTATATGTGTTTGTGGGTATGCCTGTGTATGTCTTTCTAGGTGTTTGTGAGTGTCTCGCTGAGAATGTGTGTCTGTGTCTGAGTGTGTGTCTCTCTGTGTATGTGTCTCTCTGTGAGTCTGTGTATGTGTGTCTCTCTGTGTGTCTGTGTATGTGTGTCTCTCTGTGTGTGTCTCTCTTTCTCTGGGTCTGTGCACGGTACTGTCATCAGCAGTGCCCTGGAGTACTGCAGACCTGCTTGGCTCAGGAACTGGACTACCGAGACCGCCACAGAGGGTTAGCTCGATTATGACATTCTGTTACCAAACATGTCACCTTGGAGCTAGTCTAGCTCCTGCTTACCTCCCCACCAAGGACAGTCACTTGATGGATTAGTCATTTGAAGCGAAATGTAAAATGAAATAAGATGAATATGCAGTTCTACCTAGAGACATCCAGAATGATACAGAGGTGCCTATGGTAGAACAATTTTAATTACTTAATCAAGGCTGCCAAAAAAAATCTATTGCTCTTTTAACACATTTTAAAATTTAAATTACAGCACAATTACAGAAATCCACTGTACAATGCCCCCCAGCACCTAAAAGGTTATTTTCAGGATACGAACATAAGTGAAACTTGGCAGGATTTGAACACTCCTGATAGCCAATACTTTCTGCTACCTCAGGGATGCATCCAACAACATGAACGATACACAATATTGTAAATCATTCTCTCCAACACTTTAGAACACCTGTTCATTACAACACATCATTTCTAGTTCCAAGTATTGTAATTAGTTCAAGAGAGCAGATTGGGACAGGACAATACTAGATTTTTTTTTGCTAAAAACACAACAAATAATCTCAACCTAAATTTCATTAGATTTTTGAATAACTAAAATCTAACAGAGAATTTTATTAAGGCTTTAAATTAAGCTACACTCAGTCATGAAGCTAATCTAACAGCAAAAAGAAGAGAACAATCGGAAAAGACCTTAAACCTAATTTTAAACATCCCAGATGTTCCAAAAGACAAAATTAATTTACACCCAACTTACTACAAAGGTAAGTTGATAATGCAAACACCATGAAGGCCTATGAGTTAAGCTGCTTAACTGAGTAATTGTAAAGAATGCAGTGGTGTCTGTTGAACTATGAGATACTTTACTTGGAGATAGTATTAATGAAAATATAACCCACCAGCAAAACAGAATAGAAACCAGGATGTGTTTCCCATTGTTTCAGCTGCTCTTCAGCTGGCTTCAGTACAACTGTGTCTTGACTGGTTGCTTGAGTCAAGGCCTGTAGGACAATAGTGCTGGCACTCGTGATATCCATAGAGAACCTGGGAAGCAAGCAAACAGCACTTTCAGCATTTATGTTCATAAAGGTTAATCACAGAAAATAAATGAATATCAACAGGAAAGTCACAAATAATATTTCTATTATTTTTTAAACTGCAAGACTCATTTACAGCACACTCATTGGAAGATACAAAAAGACTGAGATAGCAAAGGTGCATTTTATCGAGAATGATGTTGCAAAAATTAATTATTAACGAATGAATGATACTACACTTCACTTTAAACTCATTGTAATACAATGAAAACCAGAACATTACAAATCATAGTTTATCACAAAGAAATGTAGGTAGCTTAGGTTAAGCAAGAGGTTAACTGCATATGGAAGTCAAATAAAGTAGTTAGTTATGGATCTTAACATGTAATCTTAATTACAATAATATTAAGGATATTACTTATATAGCTAAATTTAGTTCAGTTCATTTAAACTGACACCAGCTAGTGCAGCACTTAGCCATGCAGCCCATAAGGTTGCAGGTTCAAATCTTGGTCTATGCTGTTAGCTGATCTTAGTTGGGAAAGTAGAACTCCATTATTACACAGTTGGGGTCCATAAAATCTCAACCTGCATATTGTTGATTAATTTTGTGACCCTGTGGTGAAGTAATGACCGACACAAATTCTTCAATTGATATTTATTAATACAAATTAGTTATATAATAATAATCCTTGCATTTGATACAACGCTTTTCACGTCTTCTAGATGTCCCAAAGCGCTTCACATATATATTTGAGGGCGAACGCGGCAGCCAATTGCGCACAGCAATGTCCCACAGACAGTCGTGGATTGAAAATGACCAATTTATTATTGTTTTGTTTTTTTGGAGGGATTATTATTAGGCGTGTGGAGTAAGGAAACTTGCCCAAGGTTTCGCTCTGCCTGGAATTGAACTCAGGTCTCTCACTTGCACAGCGAGTGCTCTAACCACTGAGCTACAGGACTCCTTATGTTATGTAATGCATATCAAGTTCTACGTTTCATCAAATCAAATTAATGCTCCCACCACCCTTTCAGACAATGCATTCCAGGTCCAAACAACTCACGGTGTGAAAAAATTGTCTATGTCTATCTATGTCCTTTTGCAGTCTGCTACTATCTTCCTCACCGTTTACTACTTTTCCTAGCTTAGTACCATCTATAAACTTGGAAATTGTACTCCCTATACCCAAGTCCAGGTCATTTATATAGATCAAAAACAGCAGTGGTCCTAATACCAACCCCTGGGGGACACCACTGCACATTTCCCTCCAGTCAGAAAAACAACTGTTCACCATCACTCTCCGCGTTGTCTCCCAGCCAGTTCTGTATCCATGCTGCCACTGTCCCTTTAATACCGTGGGCTTCTATTTTGCTTACAAGTCCCTTATGTGGCACTTTATGAAACGCCTTTTGAAAATCCAAGTTGCTTGAGTTGACCAAAGGGTTGACCAAAGAAAAATCGCGGAAGCTCAAGGACTTGTTTCTTCAAGAAAGCTGTATCTGCTTGAAAGCCAAGGACGGTGGAAGACTTGTTTTGAAACAAGCTGTTGAAATTTTGATAAAGTTTGTACTTAGTTTGCAGCTGGCGTTTCTAACATTACATTGAACAGGCTTTTTGGTGTGTGACCAAAAAGGTATAAAGTATCAAGAGATTTTTGGGGTTAGATCAAAGAGAGAATGGAGCAGCTAATCGCAACCAATCTCGAGGAAAGGGATATACTACAATCAACATGGATCGATGCACATTAACAAGCCGACTTTGACATCAAAGCCATTATATTGATCCGATCAACCCATTTTGGGATCAATCCATTTTACTAACCTGTCCTAAGCATTACTTTGATTTGATGAAACGTATAACTTTGATATGCATTTTCTTTACTAATCTTTAATTAAATTTTACTATTTGAAAGGAAACTTTTGTTGGTTCTTACTTCACTGCAGGGTCCTGAATTTATTTAACCCTTACAACGGTAATAAGCAGCAATAACTGGTTTCACTGTGCACTATGTGGCTCGCTTCCTGTAGTCTGGATAGATCCGTACTAAAAGAAAAATGGCCACCTTCCACGTCATCAGGTCACTGCCAACATCACTTCCCATTTGCTATGCGTTCACAAAGCAGGAAGTGAGACTGGCGGTGACCTGGTGATGGCCTTATTTTAAGCTAAACTTAGCTGTAAACTAAAATGGTCAACTTTCAGAACATTAGGTTGCCGCTGATATCTCTTGCTGCTCTGCACATTCACAGCAAAGCAGTAGCCTGATGATCTCAAAACCACTCATTTTGAGCGAAAGCTCCTGTCTAGTGCACAGGTGAACGTGTTCCACAGTAAAACCACATAATAAGTGAATATGCAACCGAGCTACATTTAATTTACCCCAGGTCCCTCTGGTCTGGGAGGTGGAGGGCAGAAAATCAGATAGAAGTTATATTTTTAACTGCCTAATGGAAAGTGGTTTTGTATGTGTGTGTGTGTGTTGCCACAAGCAAGGACATTTAGTGAGGACATGATCATGCTCAGCCTTGATATCGCTTACAGACAAAAATCTCTGCCAGATTTGAGAAATGTTTACAGGTCGAATAAGCAATATTTTTGTGTTTCCCTTCCAGAAACGTAATCCTTCGGATCCATATAGAAATTGTATGTTTTCAATTGTGTAACTGTATTACTTAGTTTCACTATATTTTAGTTTCATTGCAAGCTTTCGATGGGGAGAGGAGCAGCAACAGCAAGCAACAACACTGCTCTCACTGCACTGTGCCACGTGGATGCAATTTTTATTCAAAAATAAGCTAGGGGTTGCAGTTCCCATTACTATCCCTCATCAAGTCAAATTGTGGAGTCCTATAGTTCAGTGGTGAGAGCAGTCACCTCGCAAGTGAGAGACTTGGGTTTGATTCCCAGCAGGGTGAAACATTGGCAAGTTTCCTTACTCACACGGCTGTTTACCCAGCAGTAAGCAGGAACCCGGTTGTTAGTCGATTGGTGGATCGCTTTTCCGGGGGTAATAATTCCTTCAAAAAAAAATTGGTCACTCAATCCATGACTGTTTGTGGTACACTGCTGTGCTGCATTTTGCCCACAAAATATACAGTCAATTCACTTTACAGTATATTCTGAGAAGTGCTTTGAGATGTCTCGAAGACATAAGGCCCTATATCAAATACAAGGATTATTATTATTTATTATTTTCTGTATCTGCATCTCTCTCCATCTGCATGTGTTGCTGTATCTCTATTTTGCTCTCTCTCTCTGTGACTCTGTATCTCTCTCTCTGTTTGAAAGTGTTTGACAGGCTCTGCTGTTAACCACTGTTTTTCCTACTGGGTCAGACCAAGCCTGGGTCCAGACACAGTGCAATTGTGTTCATGGGTTGGAGGAAACCATCACCCGGGTCGGATGCAGCCCGAGGGCTGACAGTTGGATCACCCTGATGTAAATCATAATTGTGCACATCCTGTTGAAAGAGTGGGAAAATATCAATGTGACACTGAGTCATGAAGACTAGAAAGCTCCTAGTTCACTGGTCTGTACTGAGTCAGTTAATTTCAGCTTGGACACTGATTGTAGCCTTATACTGTAATCTGCTTAACAAAAAGGTTCCAATGCCTAATAGTTATCCAATGAGTCCTACTGGTATAAGTAAACATCACTCGATAACAGGATGAGGCTCCAATGTAAAATATCCTGTCAATGCAATTCTAGTCCATGACCTTCGACCTCACTTAATCAAGTAGGGGAGGGTTTTTTCCCTGCCGTCTGCCAAATGGATCTACAATATTCTATCACTGGGTAGAACAACTACCCACGTAGCGCCCTTCATGAGGGGTAGCCTTCAGCTCCCCTCTCGACTCTCTTCCCCCTCCTCGCTCCCTCCCTTCCCTCCCCTCACCCTGACCATTTCCCCCCTCCTTGCTCCCTCCCTTCCCTCCCCTCACCCTGACCATTTCCCCCCTCCTCGCTCCCTCCCTTCCCTCCCCTCACCCTGACCATTTCCCCCCTGCTCGGGTCATGACCCAACTGTGCAGCGCCTTGGGACGTCCTCCTGACGTGAAAGGCTCTTTATAAATGGAATCTTGTTGTTGTTGTTGTTGTTGTAGCGTCTCTGAGCTCTAAACAATGGCGTTGTGTGTTGCTGAACTGGAAGCGGAAGAGGAGGTGGCCGTGGGCACAGTAGAAAGGTGCGATCCTTAGATGGGCAAAGAGGGGGCGAGACGGAAGGTGTTCCAAAGTTTCAGGGTGTAGTGACTGAAGGCACAGCCACCAATTGTGCAGCAGAAGCTAATTAATGTTGCTTAGCAAGAGAAAATGAAAATTGGCAATAACAGTTAAGAAGAAAATCTGAAGAAAATATGAGAACACATCAGGAATATTTCAATGAATGAAACATAATAGGTTTCTGCGCCTTGGGACATCCTCCTGACATGAAAAGTGCTTTACAAATGTAATTTTGTTGTTTTTGCTGTTTGCCACATGGAAAAAATACAATGTTCCAAGAGTCTGTGAAACAGGATGAACAGAGGCTTATCGCACACTGACATCTAGAGGTTTGCAATGCAATGAGCCAAAAAAAACAAATGCACATCACATTATAGCAAGAACACAAATAAACACTATTTTCCCTCTATATTTCAATACTGATCTTTAAACCTATGTGAGCTAACTCGTGTCACTGGCACAGGTACAACAATTTAGGTACATCTATAACTGGTAATAAGGAATTGGAGAACTCTTAAATTAGTACTTTATTTCAGCCTTCATATTTGGAGAACATTGATAAAATACCAATGAAATCTAAAATGAACTAATGGAGAGGTGCAAAGTTGCCTCCTACGGTAACAAGCTGGTGCACAAACAGTCAAACTTCATAGTATAGTGTGCATCTCCAATGCCATGAGCAGAGGCTGGGAGACAGCTTTCACTTGTCGCCAACAGCAATATATAAAGAAAGCAGAATTTTATAACCTTGCAAAATAAAGTCAATCCTGGTAGGTCTAGAG